GAAGAAGAAGAAGAAGAAGAAGAAGAAGAAGAAGAAGAAGAAGAAGAAGAAGAAGAAGAAGAAGAAGAAGAAGACTGTAATCCCAACTGTGTGTGAGGCAGGAGGATCACAAGTTCAAGCCCAGCACAGGCAAATTAGCAAGACCCTGTCTCAGCATAAAAAAATAAAAGGGAATGGAAGTATAGCTCAATGTGAAGGTTACAGTACAAAAAATAAAAAAGTTGGGCTGGGGATATAGCTCAGTGGCATAAGTACCTGCCTGGCAAGCACAAGGTCCCAGGTTCAAACCCCAGTAATGCAAAAACTAAAAACAAACAAAAAATAAAAAGGTTTATGATCAGTGGGGCAAACTGTTATATAGTTAAGTTTTTTTAAATAAAAAGAAAAGCGGGCCGGGGAGATGGCTCAGTGGAATAAGCGCTTCCCTGGCAAGCGCAAGGGCCTGAGTTCAATCCCCAGTTCCGCAAAGAAAGAAAGAAAGAAAGAAAGAAAGAAAGAAAGAAAGAAAGAAAAGAAAAGCAGTATGTAAATGTTGTGTGAAGAACAATCGCAACTATAGAATGCTTACAGAACTGTGGGAAGGAAATGTGCCAATTTGCGGGCAGAGGCTGTCTCTGTTGGGGAGGATTACGTGCGAGTGCTACCCCTTCTTCCTGCTTTACTCATTTATTATTTATTTACTTACTTTGCATTTTCTCATTACAAACATTGCATTTGAATTAAGAAAAAACAAGGGGAGCCAGGGGCTGAGGACAACACCCTGTAGTGGCCCTGAATTTACCTGCTTTCCCCAGGCACCCGTGTCTGCAGTCACCAAGCTATTCAAGACCAGCGAAAGGTCCCCAAAATCAACCAAGCTGAGTGCCAAGAGAAGCCGGCAAGGCGATAACAGCAGATCCTTGGGGAAAAGGATAAGACAGCCCTTGCTCGGAAAAGCGGGCGCGCAGTCCCCCACTGGATGCTTCCAGCCGGCCTCCGGCTCGCTCAGCTCCCAGGGCCCAGCAGGCCCGCTCCCTGCCCCTTCCTCCCTGTGTGGGGGAGGGCAAGGCTAGCCCCATCTCAGACTTCAGTCCCTAGGCATGGCGTGGGGTGGGCTGTGCCTCTGGCAAATCCTCCACGTTTGCCTTTATTCAGAGCTGTGCTTGAGTTTGTAGACAACATACCAAAACCAATTCCCACTGCTAGCCATAGTCTCACTGCCTGATGGCTAGAAATCTAAGTCCTCCTGGCCAAAGCCATCTTCCATGTCCCCAGCCGTGGTCTGGGCACAGCCTCCGGCTGCCTTCTGGTGTAGTTCGAGGACACAACAGCCCTCACCCGCCCCAGGCTCTGGAGTCCCTGGGTCTGAAGGAGACTCTCCGTCCTCAGAGGCTGGATACATAGTGGCCACTTTCCCCTTGACCTGCTGGGCTTCTGGGCATCCAAGGTCTATGCCTGATTGGTCCTCTAAGCCCTTCTGAGAGATCTGGGTACAGGAGCCCAGGGACGATTGGGGGCCTGGCCCTTGGTGGGGGGCATCCCCAGCCTGGGCCAGGGGCATCAGGGGCCTCCCCTCCTGGTCTAGGCTGCTGCTTCCAGAAACCTCCCCAGTCCTGCCCTGTCCTGTGCCAAGTTCAGGGCCACCTTCTTTCTCGCTGTCACGTCCTCCTTCGTACTGTGGCCGTCGTTCTGCGGCTTCAGTGCTACTGCCTGGTCTTCCTGCAGCCTCTGGAGCATCCCTGGCCCTGGAGCCATCATGAGTGGCCTCTTCCTGCTCGGCTGTGCAATTCTCCTCGGCCTCTTCCTCCACGTTGCTGCCCACGCTGGCGTGGGTTCTCCCGCCTCTCTCCCACACTGCTTCCTCCTCCCTCTCCTGGTCACCAGTACCCTCCGCCTCCCTGAATTTGGAGCCACTGCTTTGCCTCTGTCTCCCTGGGGCCAAGCCCAGCTCCTGCCCTCCTGTCCACTCTCCCTGGACAGTGGGGTTCCCCTGAGGCCACTTGGTCCCTGTCCCCTCCAGGGTTCCCTCTGCTGCCTCTGCTCTCTGCTGCTGCAGAATTTGCTGTAGGTCAAAGGCTATTTTGATAGGTGCGCTGGCAGCCCTTGTGGTGCCCTTCAGGGACTTGGGAGTTACCTTCTTCCTCACACAGGTCTCACAGGGACAGAACTCATCCCCCTCGGCGCCTCCACCTAGCCCGGGCCCCAGGACTGTGCCGAGGTTGGGCCCATCCTCCTGGGTGAGGAACAGGAGCTCCTGGTTGTGGTTCTGCTCTTGGAAGGCTGAGAGGTTATGCAGGCCCCGGAGGCGACGCCTGCGCTGCTCAGTCTGTAGGGACGCCTGTCCCCTGAGGGCCTGCCTGGGTAGTCCCCGGGCCATCCTTCCTGCCCGGCTCTGGATCTTCTGGAGCTCTTTGTCCACACTGTCCCGGAGCCGCAGGCCCACATCCTGCTGCAGCTCAGCCCCCATCTGGTCCAGCAGGCTGTCGTCCTGCAGGCTCCAGCGGGCTCGGAGCTCAGCCAGAGCATGGGACAGGTGAGCCAGGAAGGCCTCCTCCATCTTCTTCAGCAGCTTGGACACCCACATGGCGTTGGGGTCTGGGGATGCTGTGGGAGCCCTGGGCAGGCTTGTCACCCCAGTTTCAGGGGTGGACTGGGCCCGGGCTTGCTCCCAGCCCAGTACAGCTGCCCTGGGCAGTACTTCCAGAGTAGGCTCTGAGTCAGGGTCACAGTGACTCTCACTGGCATCTGAGGGCCCTTGGCTGAGCTGGCACTCTGCAGGCTGTCCTCTTCTTGGGAGACCCAGGGCTGCAGAGGGAGGGTCCTTCCTCTTGTCTTCCTCCTCCCCACGGACTCTGACCTCTTCTGGAAGCCCTTCCTCCTGGACACCCTCCCCCTGGAGTCCTCTCTCTTCTGTTTCCTCTGCTTGTCTCCTCTCATCCTGTGCCATGTTTTCAATGAATGACTCTGGGTCGTGGTCCACTTGCCCCAGGTGACGGCCTCGTGCCTGATCCCTGCTGCTGCTCCCGGCTTCCGCCTGCACCGGGGAGCCAGAGGAGGCTGTGGAACAGCTCTTCTGTGGCTTTGCCCTGTGCTCTGGGTGCCCTGAGTTTCTGGAATTGGGCCTCTGGGAGATCTGCAGGGGCTGCTCCCCCTGCTTAGGGCCCTGGGTGGCATCCATGGCGCAGGGCCCATTGCTCTCTCCCGAGCCTCCAGAGCCACTGCTGATGTCCACTCCGGAGGAGGAGGTGGGCGTGAAGTCCTCAGTGACCAGCAGGGCCTGGTGTGCAGTGAGCTCTTTGAGACCCAAGCCTAGTGGGCCTTGTCCGAGGTCACAGCCCGGCCACAGGCCCTGGGAGAGTCCCAGCAGCTCCCGGTACTGAGGGGAGTCTTCAAACCTCCCTTTGTCACCCAGGGAGCTGATGGCATCATCAAAGAAGTGCAGCCGCGTGAGGCAGGTGATGAGGGCCTCTGCTGACTGGCTGAGCCTCTGGGCCATTGGGCCCGACAGCTCTGGCAGGCTGCTGGGCCGGCCCTGCTTGGAGCCCATCAGCGCCTTCATGATCTGGGTGGAGGCAGAAACCCTGCCAGGAAGGGTATGTAGTGTCACCCCGTGGCCCACATGGGTGCCATCCCCCACCCCGGCCTTTGCAGAGGCCTTGGGCTCTTTGCCCAGATCTGTGGCTTGATAGAGACCGTCTCCCAGTTCAGGGCCCACACTGACAGTCACTGGGAGGCCTTGGTTCTGCCTTGGGTGCTCATCAGGGTCACTTTCTGGGACCTGCTGCCTGGCGTCACCAGTGTCCTCCTCAGCGCCTCCCAAGCTGTCATGGGCCACAGGTGTGGACCTGTCCACCATCTCGTGTCTCAGGAAGACAGGCTCCTCTGGGATGTTGTCCAGCCATTCGCGAATCACAGCTTCCGGAGAGGTGCGGGGCAACGCGCTGGGTGTCACACTGCCATCTTCCTGTGGCTCCTGGGTACCCACCCCGGCACCAGGGCTAGGGCTCCTTCCTACTCCCCTGACTGCCCTCCCCATCGCCCTTGCTTTAGGGCTTGGGGACAGTGTGCGTATCCTCTGCAGTGTTTCTTCTCCTGTGTCACCAGCCCTTTGGTGACCACCACAGTTCGAAGGGTGCCTTTTGGTGCAGGGCTGCCCCCGGGGGGGTGTGGGGCAGTACTTGCTGCAGGCCCAGCAGGCCTCAGTGTGACCGCTGGGGGTCCCCAGGACAGGGCATGCCCCGGTCTGTGAGCTGCCGCAGCTGTGACAAACTCCTAGCTCCTCTCCCTCGAGCCATCCACCTGGGGAGGGCCTGGAGGTGCCGCCTGTCTCACCCCCCAGGCTGCTAGCCCCTCGGGTGTGGGCAGATGTGGGCGGTGAGAAGTGTACCTTGCACTCGGCATCCCCGGTGGGCTCTGCAGAGCAGGCCCTGGGGTGATGGAGGCTTGAAGCCCAGTCTGAGCTGCTCATGGAGGCAGAGGCAATGGTAGCCCTGCTGGCTACTACTGCATCCTGGGGGTCAGGACAGCCTGGGTAGAGTGACCTGTGGTTCCCTGAGGCCTGTCTGCTGGGGCTGGATGACTCAGGAGGAAATGGTGGCACCGGGTCCCCTGAGCAGGGGTCTCCTCTGTCCGGAGGCCTTGATGCTAGTGGGGTTTCTGGGGAGTTGGTGGGGCAGTGTGTGCCCCTGCAGTGGAGACACAGTACGGCATGGCCTCCCTGGGCTTCCTGGTGGGGCCTGGGAGAGCTGGGAGAGGATACAGCACTCCCTGGGCTCTGCAGCCTTTTCTTCCCCTGCCCAGCTGGGGCGCAGCCTGGAAGTGAGCGGGACACATCCGCAGCCAAGGGCAGCATTGTCCCAGTCTCACCCACAGCCTCCTGGCACCCAGTGCCCCATCCGTGCTGCTCGATCTGTAGGTTCTTGTTGTTTGGAGATGAGGCACAGGGGCTGCCACCACGCGTGGCCTTCCCCTGGGCTGTCCTTGTCCTCTCCTGGTCCAGGCAGCTCCACTGCTGTCCCTCCCACTTGCCAGACTCCTCGTGGGACTTGGCAGTGGCCGAAGCATCAGGAAGGGCCCCTTCCACACCACAGGTCCAGGAGGCCTGATGGCTCCATTGCTCCCAGGCCAGTGGCTGCACTCCCTCCAGACACTGAGCCTCCTCGGCTTCTCTCTCAGCCCAGCTCTGGGAAGCAGTCTCAAAGGCCAGGCATGGGCTGTCACTGCGTGCGTGGCCCTCCGGCGTTCTGGGGCTGCAGGAGTCTGAGTCAGAGCCTTGCAGGCGCTCAGGACTGGAGGCTGGGCTGCGGCATTCCTTGCCGCACCTCTTCCCGCCTTGACCCCAACCCGACCTCCTCCTAGGTGCAGGCTTATCCCCCTGAGGAGCACATAGGGGGTTTCTCCAGATCTCACAGCTGAGCCGGGTCTGCGAGTTTCCATCAAAGGCTCCATGGCATTCTGCCTCACAGAGACCTGGTCCCCTGGCCCCAGTCCCCAGACTGTTCCAAGGATGGCCCTCCCATCTGCAGCAGCCGGGGCCCAGCTCCTTCGGGCCAGGGCCCTCCCCGCTAGCCTGCCCCACTCTCTGGGACCACAGTATAGCTTCCTCGCCCGGGAGGTGGAGGCGGACTCTCATCTCCACAGACAGGCTGCCATCCTCATTCACGTGGACCTTCTTCTCCACATCGTCACTGGCCACCAAGGGGCTTGGTGGGGACGTCCTCATCCAGGCATGAGGCTGGGACACGGGGGGCTCACTGAGCCCAGACCTCGCTGACAGCATGGACTGAGGTTGCCTGCCGCCCGACCTGGACCTGGAGTGGATCACGCTGGGCTTGGCCTTGGGCCCCCAGCAACCTGGTGGGTGGTGGGGAGGGAAAGAGTAAGAGCGTGTGAGCCACTGCGCAGCATCAGGTAGACAAGGTAGATCAGGAGCCTCCTGCCACCCCATGTCCCATGTTCCCACTGTCTCCAGCTGCACAGAGCTGTGTAGGTTTAGGCAAAGTTCATTCCTTAACTGTAGAAGCACAGTATCAGTTTAATGGGTTTACTTTTCTTCTTTTCTTTTTCCAGGCAGTACAGGGGATTGAATTCAGTGCCTTTGCACTAAGCTACATCCCTACCCCATTTTAATTTTTTTTTTCTTTTTTGATACAAGGTCTCACTGAATTTAAGATGCCCAATTTAGGCTCAAACTCTTGATCCTCCTGCCTCGCACAGTCCTGGGGTCGACTGCACCCTCAGATGTAGGATTGCTTTGGATTATGCCTTGCCACACAGATGAAGCAATATGCTGCTGCCATGCGCAGAAAGGTTGCTATTCAGCGAGGTAGCCTGGCTGGAAGTGGGGCTGGCCTCCAGCACAGGAGGCCAGCTCCGCACACAGCCTCCCTGCAGGCCTGATGGAGCTGGTTGCTGGTGATGGAGCACCCCCAGGAGTTGATAAATGACCTCCCGGTCATTTATAAATGAACTCACAATCTCAGGTCCTGAGAGCTCTGCCTGCATCCTGGCCAGAACAGGGAGAAGATGGAATCTCTAGGGACAGAAGGAAGCAGACTGACAAGCTCTGGGCACTAGATGCTCCCTCGTTTCTTCTCCCAGACTAAACTGCATGGCACATGGAGGCTGTGACCGCTGTGTGCCCAGAGCCCTTGCCCTCTGTGGTTCTTAGCAGAAGTGGTTTTAGACCCTAGAAATGTTGAGCTCGAGATGCCTTATCTCCTGACACCTATAAATACCGTGTTCTGATCTCTTACAAAGCAGGTAAGGTTGCTGACAGTGAGGAGAGGGCAAAAGGGGCCCCAGAATGCCTGGATCCTCAGGACCTGGGGTTAGAGACCCCTTTCCTGCATTGTGCGAGACACCTGCCCACCCCTGTGAAATCACTCACTCATGCATGTCAGGTGTGGAAACCCCAAGCTAACTCACTGTTTTTGTTGTTCGAAGTCAGCGCAGATAAAGCTTCCGTCTGGCCTCTCTGGGCGCTGTTCGTTGCAGGGGGCCTGAAAGGCTCGTTGCCCGCACACACCAGCATGGAGGGGCCATGCAGCAGCACCTGGAGAGGGTCCACCTGGAGGCGGCAGGGTGCAGTCAGGACCCTGGGGAGGAGCCCCATTGCTCCAGCCCTTGCGGACTTCTGTCCAGCTCTGCCTTTGACGCTGCCACCCATAGTTGGACGCCTCTTCCAGTATCTCTCCGGGTGGGTGCCTGGACTACAGCTCACTTGGGAGGAAAAGAGGTCGGAGCCCTCCGGCTGCCTCTGGGCCCACATATCCACCACATGGAGTATACTCTTCCTGATGCAGCCTCACCAGCAGCACGGCCTGAATGGGGAAACTGAGGCTGTGCTGGGCTTTTCCCAGGTGTGCTCTCCTTTCTAACAGGGTTTTCAGTATACCCCCAAAGGTTTTGGTGCAGCCCTCACCGCTGCCCCTGCTCCCACAGAATGGAGAGAGTAAAGCACGCTCTCCTTCTCTTCCTGACTTGTATAGTGGTGTCCAGGCCCCACCACACACTCACCCCAATGCTCAGCAGCAGCGTGTGTCCTTGTCCGCTCCTGAATCAGACCCCAGCTTTTAGAAAACTCTCCCGCTGCCAGTGTGAGGCTTCGCACTCTTGCTGCGGGGACAGCACCCTGCAATGAACAGCTCTAGCAGCTGTGGTTCTGTCTTTGAACTGCAGAATATGTTCTTTTTCAGTAAAAAGAAGATGAAGGCACATCTTCTCCCCCCAAAATGACGCACACATTTGTTGTACTCCAGACCTTTCAGCCCAGTTAATTTGAAATAAGTTTTCAACTTCTAGGGACATTTCTTCTTTGACTGAGATTTCTAATCCATCTCACAAATACAAACATGGCCTGAGTCTCTCAATGAGAAGATATAGCAATGCTTCCAGAGAATCAGAGTCCCCACAGAGGAAGACAGAATGGGGGTCCAAATGGCACACCCCTCCCTAAGAGACCTTGGACCTATAGGGAAAAAAGAGCACTATCAAGCGTGCTTCCAGGAGAGGACCCAAAGTTAACAGTCATGACTCCACTCTCTGGGGAGCAGTAAGGTCACTTTCACAGAAACCCTAAGAGCTCTGCAGTAAGTCTAGGTGAGAATGTCCTAATATCTTCTTCTCCTGTTGATATCATTTTGTGACAGGCCTCCCCCTCATCAAGCCTCCTACTCTGTGAGCTAACCAGAGACAGGGACCTAGCCTTACTCTGTATACTCTGCGTGGTACGCATGCTCCATAACTCAAGGGCACTTCTGCATTATTGATGGCTGTGTCATCATTTGTTAACTATGCAAATATGGAAAAAATACTTACCTCTGTGCCCCACTCTTCTAACCTATCTAGTGGAAATGATAACACTAGCTGCACTCCGAATATGTGCGGTAGGTGCTTCCTTCCAGGCCGGTGCCCCTCCCTGGCTTGCTTTTTCTGAGTGCTTTCCAACAATGCACAGCTTACAATGCCAAAAGCCTCCTTCACCATCTCCCTTGAGGCTAAGAATCACAGTACACTTAAGACAGGGACACAAGGGCCAGCCAAATAGCTCAGCGGATTAAAGCACCGCAAGCAGGTGCAGGGGCCGGGGGTTCGATCCCCGGGCCTACCATGCCGGCCCCGCCCCAGGGCATGCTGAGATGGCAATTGAGACTAGGCATGGTGGCATGCATCTGTAATCCCAGCTCTTGGGAGGTTGTAAACAGGAGGATCACTACGAGTCCGATCTATTGGTGAGACCCTGAACACCCTGTAGACCCTTCCCTAAAAATTCACAAAAAAGAAAAAAAAAGACAGGAACATGGTGGTGAAACCAAGATCACTTTCCTTTTGCTTTCACCATAGCTACAAGCCAAAAAGGCCAAAGGTGCAGAGACGTGTGTGCAGCCACCACGGCAAAAGCCAGCTGTCAACCGACAGCTGCATACATCAGCCTCCCCGCTAGACTACAGCAACCGCGGGGAGACCCTAAACCCAGTCATGCCAGTGGCAACCACCCACAGGCCATTTTCTTGGCTGTGTCAGGGGTGTTCCTGTGATGGATTAATTCAGGGATATCCTAGGAACCTTCTCCCCAGGAATCCAGCCTCAGCCCCCCAGTGCTTAATGAGTCTTGAGTCATCAAAAACTCTCTGTACAGAATTCCTTTCTGCATAAGCTACTGAGGGAGAAATCTGCTTCCTGTGCTGAACTACGCCAGGCACAACATGTGAGTAAAAGCTGATCGCAGCTAGTAGGCCTCCAGGATGAGAGTCTGAGACTGAAGGCTGGGCTTGCGGGTGGTAATAAACTAGTGACAGTGGGGCACAGGTACACCACAGCACACTGTGACAAAGTAGATTCTTCAGTGGTCACTTCTGATGGACTTTGGCTGCCACTGGCTGCCACAGTGGTCTATGATGATGTGGAGGAAAACGGCAAGGACTAAGTGCTGGGTTGGCTGTTTCTAGCCTTAGCAGTAGCAGGTGCAGCATCTCAATTCCCCATGTGAGGACAGCCAGGGGACTTGGAGCTTCCATGACCACTGCCAACGGATCTCTTGAGGATTTTAGCTAAAACTCAGGTGCAGGAACTGATTTGACTGATGCTGTATTACAGTTGAATGGGCATTACATGGTCTGTGAAGCCATAACACAGGTGTGGCAAGCACTCAGTCATCAGGTGGTGGGGACACACGCTGGGTCAGGCTCACAAACCTTGCACTGAGCCAGGTGTAAATTGTTAAGCAGGTGGTGCGGCACCTCCTCTCCTCTCACCTGCACCTGCCATGTGGCTGCCTCTCCTCAGCATGCACCTGTGGCTAACTAGAGGCACTCCCTGGTCACTTGACCAAGCATGCTGGAATCTGAGTCACAGAGGGCTGTAGGGTCTGCTGATGTGATCCAAAGTTGACCATGGCAACATAAGGGGCCCAATCAGGAGCCATGAAGGGTGGCAGGGAGAGAAAACCCAAGGGACAGTGTGATGATGTTGACTGATTTTTTGGAGGAAGCAGTGGCAAGATGTCCTGTAGCCACTTACAAGCAGTGGGTAATGGTTCCATATGACAATTTGGGACTTGGAAGACACACATCCTTGATGACAAGAAAACCTGGAGAAGAGTGGTGAAAGGCTTCCTTACAGTGAAAAGTCTAGGTGACAAGAACATTTGTGTCCTGTGTGAGTATTCACTGAAGGGACAATCTGTGGGCAAGTTGCTCGGTGGGTATCAGTCATACTCGCTCCCCGCTGCCCTGAGGCAGCTCAGTCAACACTGTCAGGAGCAGCGTCAACTCCACCTCACTTAGGTGGGTCTGCTTGTTGGTCTTCTCAGAGCCTAATCTGCCAAAAGCAGAGACTAACGCTAAAGTCCTGGCTTGCGTCATGCTTGAGGGACACAGCCAGCCACCTGGGGAGGAGCTGTTGGCACTAAAGCCCTGTGCCAGGGAGACAGAAACTTGTATTCCTAAGACGGATGCTCATTTTGGGTTGGGACCATCCCTCGCCCCCATTCATTCTTTCTCACCACCCATCCACTAACTGAATGCCAGCTCATCGTTGCCACATCCCAGGAAGCTTCCTTCTGCCCAAAGAGCTGATTTTATAGCAGAAGATATGGGACAAGGCACTGATACCAAGGAATTTGCTGCAGATCCAGGTACCTCACCATCCCATCAGTCAAAACTTGTACAGCAGTGGAAATATTCCCTGGTGGATTCTGCTGAGAACCACCAGCCCAGATGTAGAGCTGTTATCCTTCAAGACATGATACATGCTTCCAATGGGCAACTGCTGCATAGCACGGGGTGTCCAGAGGCCATGTGCTGGGGTTGAAGGGCCTGAAGTGAGCGGGGCCCCTTCCGCTGTCTCATTCAGCCTGGCTGCAGGTATATTGTACATAGCCACAATCAGCTGATGGAAAGCAGAAGTAACTCGGGCTGGCAGCAAAGGAAACCTTAAACCCTTCCAGTGGCCCTGGAGGAGATTACGGAGTGATCCGCACAGCTCTCTCAGGTATTTCCTATTTGAGGCAATTTTCTATTTTTTCTCTTGATTCCCTAATAACTTTGTATAAGGTATTTTGATAGCTGTGGACGCCAATCGATCTTAAGCTAGAGGACATTGGATTGGGATTGTGACAATTGGCACAAAGGTGGCGTGGCTTTGGGAGTGAACATGAAAATGTGTTTGAGTGTAAGAGGGAGAGCTATATTCTCCATGACAAGCACGCTGCTATTGCCATGTGTGTAGACAAAGCGCTGGTGAGATGCTGCAGAGCAGCTACAGGCTTCAACTGGGAAAGACTGGACTAGGTCAGTCACTTCTGTCCTCTGTTCTGTCTTCCTTTGATGGAAATTTGTGTTCCGCAGTCTCTGGAAAGGCAACACTTACATTCACAGGCCTTCTGTATGTATAGTTAGGGCTGGACACAGGTTAGATTCTCCTCAGTTAGACACAAGCAAAGCCAACACCATTTCTTCCCGTGTCCGGCTGATGCTGCAGTAAGGCGGGCCTGTGGGACTTAGGAGGCAACAGTAGCAAGGGTGTCAGACTCGGCCCCCAGCAACCCTGAGGGTCAAGATGTAGCAGTGGCACCTCTGAGCCCAGCACTCCAAGCTTGGCTGCTGCCCTCTCTCACCAGAAGTGCTCCCATCTCTACCCTCACAGTCACTTCCCCAGAGTCAGCCAGGCCACCCTTTCGGACTGGGCTTTGGGTTCACACTCCAGCTCTGAAGGGACTGGGAAGCCCCTAACAGGGCTTTCTGCTTAAGGGACCTTGAGTTTCTGTTTCTCACACAGAGCTCCCACAGGAATAGTCTGTACCTGCTAAGTGCACCAAACAGAAACTAGAATGTAGGTAGCAACTGCCTGTTGGATTAATTGACCTGTTGGATGTCCCCACCCTTTCTACCTTTAATTAGTAACAGGGCGATCAAGAATAACCTCCTATTCCAAGTGGTTGTGTGTGTGTGTGCATGTGCATGTGTGTGTGTGCGTGTGGTACTGGGGATTGAACCCAGAGTCTGAGCTACATTCCCAACCAGTGTGCATTTCTTTTTGTTTGATTGTTTGAGACAGGGTCTTGCTGGGAGCTTAGACTGGTCTTAAACTCATTATGTAGCCCAGGCTGGCCTTGAACTCACAGCAATTCTCTTGTCTCATCCTCCTAAGTGCTGGGATTACATCATGTAGTCCATGTTATACTTTTTATTTTGAGACAGTTTATCAAGATAAATTGCTAAATTGCCTACACTGGACTTGAACTTGTGATCCTCCTGCCTCAGCCTCCCAAAGTCCTGGGATTATAAACATGTGCCACCACACCTGGCTCCCTGGCTCTGGGGGCCTCGTTCAAGGGAATCCCAGGCTGCGTTCCTACCTTCCGCCCACTGACTGTGTACACCTGCTTCACAGGAAAGCGAAGAAGGTCTGACGCCTGGCTGAGGAAGGCTGTCCGGCTCCTGGCATCTCTGTGACTGAGAAGCAGTGTCTGCTGGTGTCTGGCATCCCCGTTCCTAATCAGAGTTATCCTCCTTGAGGCTGTGGGACCCTTGCAGGAAGAGGATGTCCCAGAGGCCTCACGCCCACCTTCCATATCCAGTGACTGCACAGCCAAGGGGCTTCTCGCAGGCGGCCGACCTGGCCCCCGAGGGGTCTTGGGAGGCTTCCTGTCGGAGCAGAGGTAGCAGCCACCATCCCGCAGCTGCTCCAGTGCACTGAGGCCATGCAGACCCCGGGGCGTGGTGACAGAGCGAACCCCAAAGGACAGAGGCACGCGCTGGGAGAGCTCATCCATCAGAGCGCTGAAGGTCTTGAAGGCCCGCCGATGGACAGCCAGGCGCACCCCAGCAAACCGGGGGTCCCCTCGCTTGAAGAAGGTCACCTTCTTGGCTGGCGTGACCTGGGTGATGGAGGGAGTGTGAGCCACAGAGGGTAAGAGGCACTCGTGGCGGCTGGGGGCCTGGACGTCCCTCAGGTCGCCGCCGTTCATGATGCCCAGGCCCCAGCAGCTGTAAGCACAACAGGAGAGTGAAGTCAGGGGCCGCTCCTAGGTTCACATTTCCTGCCTGTCCCCTCCCGTCCTGCCACCCGAATGGGTCCCATACAACTATGAAGAGGCAGCTTGAGAGAAAGGACAAAGGGTTGGACGGAAGTTCAAGCCCCGACCACACCATTTCCTACCCAAATGGCATAGCAGGGCAATGACATAATCTGTTGTCATCTGCAAAATAGCCACTGTCATGCTGCACAGTGCTTTCAATCATTCAGTGAGTTTGTGCGTAAAAAGCCCCAAGCACCAAGTGGGACCAGAAGTCTTAGCTCCTTTCTCTCCTCTTGCTATTTCTCTTACCCTCTTTGGTCAACACTAATCTTCTCTGAATACTTCTATCACAGAGGTGGGTGGAGAAAGCAAAGTCTATAAATAGGGCAAGTGCTGGCCGAGGTGCCAGAGGCCTGGGGCATCTGTTGAGGCCTCTCTTGCGGCCCTGGAGACCTCTGCCTCCCACTTCTGCCTCCCACTTCATCTTTCTAATTGCCAATGGGTGGAGGCAGAAGTGCTGTCCCAACCCTTCCAAGGGGACACAGTACTGTGGGATTCTGTGGGTGTTTCTTTCATTCTCAAGCGTTGTTTGCTCCTGGGAAGAACCATGCTGCCCTTAAGTCTTGATGTGACCTGCAGTTAGCCCTACACATGCATATCCCTGCCCACTGGACACACAGAACCCTGTGGGAGGCTCAGGTTCCGCAGCCCCACTGTTTCATCTGCTCTCCCTGCCCAGGTGCTGGAGCCTCGCACAGGACTCCTGCAGCATCACCCACAGAGTTTGGCCATTCGGGTCCCCAGGCTTGGCTCTACCCTTACAGGGCCCCCACCAGCTTCCCCCTGGATGCTCCCTGAGCTCCAAAACCTTTGCTCAGCTCCAGAGGAAGCCCTGGCCTTTCACCCTCAATCCAGGGCTCTTCCTGCTTGTCCCCATACCTCCTCCACTAGTGTCACCGTCACCTCCTCTCCCAAGGCATGGCTCTGTGGCGGCCCTGTGCAGCAGCCCATCTTGGGCCTTGTGGTAGGGCCATTCCTGGCCCCCCGTGCCCAGACAGCCCCACTGTCCATGCAGCTTTGCCAACAGGCTTTCTGGTCCCTGCTGCTTCCCAGGCCTGGAGGTGGACTATGTCCTCTCAGGATGCCTAGCCCCCTGCCCAGAGCAGAGCAGGCCTGAGCAAATGCACGCAGGCTCAGAATGACACATCTCACAGGGGCTCCCACCCGAAGAAGGCTGTCTGGAAGCCAGCATGGAGCAGCTACAGCCAGGCAAGGTGTCCTCCCGCTGCTGGGCACCAGAGCCATGCAGAGCCTCCTCAGGCCCAAGCAGGCTCACGCTGGCTGGGCCACACCCACTCCTTACCTCTATCGCTTCTCCCCTAGGCCCCTTTCACACAAAAGGAAGGAACTCCTCTCTCATTTTCAAAATGTGGTGCGCAGAAAGGCCTCTAATCCTCTGTCGTCTCTACCCTGCTTTATATTTAGCTTTGCCCAGCTTCTTCCTCCCGACTAATCCCGTAAGCTGCTGTCATTAGGCCCCCTGCGGACACCAGGCTTCTTCACACTTGTAAGCAGGGGCTCCTTAGTGGGGGTCCAGGGAGGAGCTGCACACTGTCACCAGCACTGCCTAGTCCAAACTGTCACGGGGCCCCAGCAGTGCCATGTCCCTTGCATTGCTATGTCCCCCAGCTCTACCATGTCCCCCAGAGTCACCTTGCACAATAGTTGTCCTGTGTCCCCTAGTGTCACCGTGTCCCTTAGTGTCACTGTATCCATGTGGACATAACAAATGCACGTCCTCCACACAGGGTATGATGCAAGCAGAGCAAGATGGTGTGCAGTCCGGGAAGACTTCTTACAGGAGGCAGCGGGGAGGCTCCCGAGCTGAGCCCAAAGGCCAACTCAAGGACTGGCTGCCAGCAAAGGCAGAAGGCAGAACAGCCTGGCAAGTGGAAGTGGCCCTGATGCCACTTCTACCCAGCTGGGATGCTGGCTGGCTGGCGGAGGAGGCAGAGACGGGAGGCTGCTCTGCATGATGATCCATGCTTCATGGACAAGGGGTAGAGAAGGGTGCGCTGGGCTGGGCCGATGTTGCCTGCACCCAGGTGTTCAGACAGGAGCACAGGCTGTTCAGTTCCTGAGCCAGGAGCCCCCTCCTGGACTTGCACTGGGGAGCCCCTCCACCAGGTGAAGGAGCGTGAACCAGCCAGAGACCCTGGGCCTTCCACCACACAGAACCTCTAGTGTCCTCCTTCACAGGGAGCCACCAGGGCCGTGACCCCACCTGGTCTAGTGGGGACCCCACCCCCTGGGTTCCCCTTTCCTGTATCACACAACCTGTGATGTTCCCCTCTGGAGAGCACAGGGACTGGGAGCCCCCACAGTGTCAGAAGGGTTGTCCTCCTTGGGACCCACACCCTGACAGGGCCAATAGGCCCTGGGGGTGGGAGAGGGGAAGAAGTGTTAAGGAGGGGGGCCACACTGGGGATTTTGGGAGGAAGCAGGAAAGAACTGCCTTCAGCTGTGGGTGGCAGGGACAGGAGGCAGAGACAAAACAAATTAAGGGACACAAGGAGAAAAAATAGAAGTTGCAGGAAATGCTCAGAAGGTGACAGGCAGGGTGGTCAGTGGGACTGGTCAGGGAAGATGGGGAGGAAACAGTTTGGGGGCAGATGTTGTGGAAGTGGGGGGAGCTGGGTTAGCAGGCAGATTCAGGAGGGGTGAATGTGGTGGGAGGAAAGTGGGAGGGCAGGAGGGTCAGAGATGGGCAGAGTGGGCCTGAGAGGGAGGGGCAGCTGCCCCGTCACAGATGACAGCAGGAAGTGCCGAGGCCGAGCAGCGCCTGTCTCTGGGGGGCAAGCAGGGCTGCGGCCTCCAGCGAGACGCAGAGTTGTTGCCACCCAGCAGAGAGCCAAGTCCTAGCTGCCACCTGGCCTTTCCAACACCACGCACCTGGGGAATCATCCATGCGCCATGGTTGCTAAGAGGTCGCTGTGTTCCGAACCAATGAGAAGGAAGAAAAGGTGGTGAGGAGCTAAGACCAAGACTGGCCGCTCACTGCCAGGTGCGACCCAGTTCTGGGAAACGAAGATGCGTCTGTCAGTCAGTGAAATGCAGGACGAGGAGGCCCGTGCTGGTGCTGAGCGTGAGCGCTGCGACCATGACAGCAGCAGTGTGGCAGGTCGGCTGGATCCTGCTGCAGAGCCACCTTCCCAGGCAGCAGCCACTTCCAGGCACACCTCCGGCTCGGGAGCAGGGACTCCAGGCAGTGGCCATTGGTGCACCGACGTTCACAACAGCATTATGTGCAGCAGACGCGGTGCCCAGACAGTGGAATACCACGCAGCTTTCAAAAATAAGGCGCTTCTAGCACCCGTGGAGTGGAGGGGCCTCACGGACGTCAGACTAAGGGAACCACAGCAGTCACAAAAGCGCAAGTGTGACCCTAAGATGCTCTGAGGGCAGTCAGGGTCTGTCTTAGTTACTCTTCTCTTGTTACTGGGATAAATAACCTGGACACTCAAAATGAAGGAAGGAGAGGTTTCTTTAGCTCCCAGGTACTGGAGGTTTCAGGAGAGGGGGTCAGTGCCCTGTCTTCTCCAAACATCTCCTCTGTGCTGGAGGCGGCCTTAATTGCAGACACTGCCTCCCGCACTACTGAGTCTTGAGAAGAGGTGGGGGCGCCACCATGTTCAGAATGACCCGCCCCACACCTTGGAGAGACCGCAGCCTGCGGGGGTGGGGGCAGAGCATGCTGCCAGTTTAAGGGTTCGAGCCTCTCTGGCTCCGCCCCTCGAGCCACCGCTGCCCCTCGAGCTGTGTCCGCCCCGTGACTTACATGAGGCTTTCAGGGGACAACTACACACAAACCATAAGAGAGTCAGAGACGGAAAGTGGGATGGGGATTACCAGGAGCTAGGGGGACAGAAGCGACGAGTTTGGGGACAGAGTTTCTGTTTGAAAAGATGAGAAGGCTCTAGAGACAGGAGGTGGCAAGGGTGCCCAGCAGCAGGCCTGCACTTCATGCCAGTGAACTGTACATTTAAAAACAGCTGAAAGGGTGCATTTCATATTATGTGCATGTTACAACAAAAACACCATAAAATAGAATCATAAAAAATTAAAAAGGAAGGGCTGCCATGAATTGCACAGCAAGGAAGGTGGCATGGGGCAGGAGGTCTTCCTACAGCCAGTGCCAAGCAGCCTCAGAAGGGTGGTGAACCGTGGGCAGGAGTAACCAATGAGCAGGGGCAGGGCACATCCATGGTCCTTCTGATTGACAGACAGAAGCAACCTATCAGCCACAGGGTCACCTGCTGGGTGCTGGATACCATTAGACTGGACATGGCCCAGTCTCTGAGAAGGCTCCTGCTCCACAGAACTGCTCAGGGAAGGAGACTGAGGTGCCCCTGTCCTCGCCGCTTGGCACATGAGTGGCCATCTAGTTCTAGGATGTCCCTAGCTCCAGGGCCCACCCTGGCCCTGGCAGCACCCAGCCCATGACTTGGGCTCACTGCTGGACTTATTCTTTCCTTTTACTGTAGCTGTATGACAGAGGTGCCGTGCTCTATAGAGGCTGCCACGCAGTGCTAGCATTTGTGAGAAGCTTGCTAGGGAATGACCAGCCCAAGCCTGGGAGACCTCCTGAGAGACTGTTGCAGGCATTGGCTCTCACCACGCCCAGGGAATACCCACTTCCTTTGACAATCAAAACCATGACAAACCCTCTCCACTCCTACACACACAAGATACTATATGCAATTCCTGGGTGCTGGGCCAGGTGTGACGGCTCATGCCTGTAACCCCAGGCTTTGGGAGGCTGAGGCAGGATGATCACTGAGAATTCAAAGCCAGCCTGAGGTACAAAGTGAGTTCAAGGCCAACCTGCACTACATAGTGAGACCCCTGTCTCAAGATAATAATAATAATAATAATGATAATAATAATAA